ACGTTTCATCAGCTTCTCGTCAAATATATTCATACTGAAAAACCATGTTCATTTCTAGTCATTCTGTACAATACCTACCATACAGCGTCAGTATGTACGAGTTCGCCAGAAAAAAAACCGAGATCCAGGGACTGTCAGCCTGGTGGCACCTTACCACGGGTGACGGGTTTGACCAGCAGTCGATCAGATCGCCCTGGTTTCGCTGGTGTAGAGAGGATTTCGCGTGGATTTTGAATACACCTATCCTGTGCAAGGAGTTGACGCCCATCGAAGAAACCAGAAACAAAGGTCAAATGAGAGGTAGGCTCGAGATAACGAAGATCTGAAAAAAGAGGTGGATGTCCGAGGAGTCACAGTGGAGGCCTAGGACGCTGTGGGTGACTCCGACTGGAGCTCCAGGGCCGGTCGATCGATCAATCCCACGGTCAAGATTAGATAATTAGATTAGTCATATCGCTGAAGTGATAAGATCCTCAGGCCTCTTCTTCAGCACCACGACCACGTCAATCTTCAACATCAGTTTTGACGCATTCAGAAGGCTCTAAGCATTGAAACAAAGACCTCAAGATATTCGCACTAACATTCTTTCATTTCAGGCCCCCTGGAGCCATGGATTTTCTGGGAAATTAACTGACGACGGGTAGACGGGCCTTGAACTCTTACATTCAGGATCACTTGACGGGCCATCAGCCAGTCGGAAAATCCTCGCGAGAGCGTATGAGGTGATCTCACTCAACAGATTTCTGTCCAGAGAGAAGGTGACCCAGGTTCACATCCCATTTCTCAAATGTCCGTCATGACCAGGACCTTTAGAAGAAGTCACAAAAATAACTCTGCTAGAGTTACGAGGCAGAGAAATTTTTCTTTGAACGTCGCTGGTGCGTGATTGGGTTGCGATCCAGTTCTATACCCTAGGTTTATGGGGGCACTTTGCGTACACGATGCTGGCTTCCTCTTTTCTCGGATGAGGTTCATAACCCGTTCTTCAGTGCTTGAGGCTCAATGATCACGCCGACGAGTCCTGGGTACAGGAGGACTCCAGAACCCCAAAGAAGGCATTACTTTCCTTTTGTCACAGCGAACCACAGCTCTTCCCGCCCGGTCTTCGTGTGCCTACTCGATTGCTCTACCCACATGCTCACGAGGTCAGTCCTTTCGCCTTCCAGGGTTTAAAAGCGACCGAGCTCAGAAGAGTTACCGAAATTTCCCTCAAAATCGATATGTGGGGCTACTCCGTCAGCTTTGCATTATTAGCTCTAGTTGCGACTCAGGTTGGGGTCGATGCTCAGGAGACGACAGTTACGGTCAGCGCGAATGCCGCTCATCCCATTCCGACTACGCTCTGTGAGTCGATATCTTCATTTCTCTTCACCTCGACTCACTTATGATCCACGATTTCAGGGGGACAGATGTTTGAGGTGAGACTTTTCGTCTGCGCTGATAATGGATAGCTCAAGAACCTCGTCCCTTTCGCTCTTCACAGGATATAAGCGTACGTCATTCCGTCGTTTCCGATTCTACGTTGCTCAGAATCTCACACATTATATTATTAGCATGTATGTATCCACGATGCCTTCCCTTCGATTCGGCCCTGACAGCGGCTGTCCTATGTCACAGAGTGGGGACGGAGGGTTGTACGCAGAACGTCAGTCGTAGCGTCGTCTTTCGACAATGAGCGATCTGACTAAAGGTTCCCTGTAGTCCTCCAAAATCGTGCATTCCAGCTAGTTACGCCAGGTATCATTTTCCATATTCTGATGTCTTCTTCATTTTATTCACAGCAAGGCCTCAGGCAGCGCCACTGCCCTCGATCCTTGGAGTGCTGTAAACGGGGCTCAAATCTCCGTGGTCGAAGATACCACGCCTGTATCCAGCGCCCTTCCGAATTCGCTCAATTTTGTGGCACCGACCGGAGCTACTGGTCCTGTTGGAGTGCAGAACCCGGGCTATTGGGGTGCGTGGCTATATCGGCGTACGCGTTTTACCTAATCCTCAACTCACCTTCACTTGATTGCAGGTATCAAAGTGACATCGGGCTCTCAGTACACTGCATCCTTCTTCTACCGCTTCCCTACTTCCTCCTCGTTCAACGGACCCGCTACGATCAGCTTGCAATCTAGCTCTGGACAGGTCCTCGGAAGTACAACTGTCAACCTATCTGGGAGTCAAACGAGTTGGAAACAAGTCACGGCGACGATTACTCCCCCTACTACCGCTAGCTCAACGAATAATACCTTTGTCGTCACGGTTGACGGAGGTGCGGCAGCTGGGCAGACGATTCGGTTCGCGTTGTTTTCGTTGTTCCCGCCTACTTTCAAAAATAGGGCAAATGGCATGAGACCGGATATTGCTGAAGTGCGGAACCCATGATCGTACCATGTGGAGAGTCGCTAATTAGTATGGCTTGAAGGCGCTTCAAGAGATGGGACCGAAAGTCTTCAGATTCCCGGGAGGGAATAATCTTGTATGTTCTACCTTCTCTCCTCCTCATGTACGACGATTCTTATCGATTCGAATAGGAGGTACTCCAGGTTGCATCGCAGTCGTTTGAAGGAATTGACTAATACTCAAACTCAAGGGCGAAATCCCTTCTCAACGATGGCAGTGGAATAACACCGTTGGGCCTCTTCAAAATCGTCCGGGTACGCCTAATGTGTTCGCTATCAAACTCCTAGTAATTGATTTTTCGAGTAAGGTCGACTTGGGGACTGGGGCTACATCAATACTGAGTAAGTTCTATCAAATCCAACGTAAATCCATATTCATCTCTGCTTTTATTAGTGGCCTTGGTCTTTTCGAATACCTTCTGTGGTGCGAGGACCTTAATATGGAAGCTATAATGGGGATCTGGTCCGGTATGTCCTGTGCCGGTAAGCTAGGCACCTATTTTGAATCTTGTGTTTTCGTCAGGTTTCTCCCTTCGAGGAGAATCAATCCCGCCAGAGAATCTTGGACCTTATATCCAGCAGGCCGCAGATCAGGTTAGTTCTCGAGGTCTCCCTGTTGTATGCGTGCTTTCGCTTACGGTCCGCTTCTTGAGATCAACTTTGTCGTGGGCGATTCAGCGACGAGTGCTCCGGGTGCGTGTGTTGTACCTCCTACCGATCATTGGCCGACCCGCTAATCGCCTTTTTCTTCCGATCTCAGCTGCTCTCCGTGCATCCCTTGGCCACCCGGCACCATTCAAATTGACTCACGTCGAGGTTGGAAATGAGGTAGGAGGGTTCTGTGTCACGAAATTCACAGCATACAGTTAAAGCTGTTGTTTTGATAGGAATTTTTCGCCGCCGATACGTGAATTCCTTCTATTCTTTCTTAACGGCGCCTTAGATTAAAAACGAATGAATATAGGTACCCTGGGCGTTGGACAGCCATGGTAACAGCGCTGCAAGCTCAGTTCCCGAACCTGAGTGAGTACACCTTGGATAGGTTGGCTACGGTATATAAGGGACATAACTCCGATAGGTTTCATGGCAACTTCGAATGTGCAAGACCCGCCTTTAACGCCTACTCCCGTTGAGTGGGATCTACATGTTTACCAGACGCCCTGTGAGTGTATATTGTTTCCAGGATGGGTGACACGTTCGACTAATGACTCGGCCCGACATTGTGCAGCCTGGTTCTTCCAGAACGCGTTCCAGTACGATGACTTCCAGCGTAATGGGACGAAGTACTTTGAGGTTCGTCCCATACTTGTCTGATAATCTAGGGCATTAGATCGTTACTGAACTTATGCTTACTCGAACTTATTAGGGTGAATACGCCGCAATTTCGTTGAACTCAAGTGATATCTTCGGGACGCCTGCAACTGGACGTCTTGTTTTCCCGACCATGCAAAGTGGGCTTAAATCGATCTCTATGCATATCAAGAAGCGTCATCTCAACTCATCTTTACTCCCTTGATTCAGGTGCATCTGGGGAAGCCTGTTTCATGACAGGATTGGAGAGTAAGCACCACTCTGAGCCCGTCTTCACTACAAATACGCCTCTAACTTATTTATAATACAGGGAACAGCGATATTGTATTTGCGGCAGCATATGCACCACTATTGAACGTGCGTAGCTCACTTTCATCTAAATTGGCACTCAAAGGTTGATGATCACGGAACCTCAGCACGTTAACAATTCTCAATGGGTATGTATGAACCTTCGCAATCTCATGATTATGAGATACTGATCAAGGCGTTGGGCAATCAGACGCCGAATCTCGTTAGCTTCGAGTGAGTGGGCTGATCTCGTATTCGTCGGTCTTAGAAGATTTTGATTACCTCTATACTAATAGCGCCGGAAATGTCTACCGGTCAACGAGCTTCTACGTTCAAACGGTATGTGAGCCTATCTTCTAGTTGCTCAAGGATATTTACGCGGCCTTTGGTCAGCTTTTCTCGCGTAACCGAGGGGACTCTTACCTTCCCAGTACCCTTCCTACCCGGAATGACAGCCTCCACTGGAGCGTTGCACGCAGTGGAAGTACGGGTGTCATCATCAAGGTTCGTGAAGACATATCTTAACAAGTACTGATATTGAGGTGTTCCATTAACAGGTTGCGAATGGCGGCACCGAAGCCAGATCGCTGACTTTCCAGTTACCGTTCACCAATATTGCGACTTCGGGTACACTTCAGCTTCTGACGGGCGCTCAAGATGTCAGCAACTCACCCGCTACGCCCAATGCTGTCGCGCCGAAGAATTCGACGATAGCAACAGGAAAGACGTTTGAGTATCAGGCGCCGGCGTTCAGTGTCGGGGTCATTACTTTTAGTGCTTCCTAGGACTCTAAGATGATGTGCTCGCTTATAGTTACGTTGTTTCCGAATGAATAGGAAATTTTGACGACACAAAGGAGTTCCTGTTTAGACCATTGGCTCAGCGTTCATGGTTGTCTATACGAGAAAGGCTGTGGAGTCCACGGGTCTTGTGAATTGCGTTCATATTGGCAACAAACATGGAACGAGCGTCTCTCTCCCCACATCGGGAAAAAGAATAGTCCTAACACCGAAAGGGCCTGACCGGGAATTGAACCCGGGACCTCCTCGAAATTTCTGTCAATTGAACAGCCCTAACAAGGAATCATACTACTAGACCATCAGGCCGACATCATCGGCGAAACCTCTAACACGGTTCCCCAGTGGGGAACGGCCCTCGCAACCCGGGAACACCCCTCCCTTGTTGGCGAGGATGTATACGGGGGTGAACCATCGCCTTTTCGCGTACAACCATTGCATGATGTAGGTAAAAATGTACATTAACTACAAGTTGTATAGAAAGATGGACAACTCACGCACCTTGGGAGAAGTTGTACATCTTTGTCTCCATCTTGGAGAAGATGTACAACTTGTGGTGCAAGTTGGACGCAAAGATGGACAACCGGCTACAAGATGTAGCCGGAGTTGTACATCCTATACACTATGGAAAAGGCGTCCATCTTGGGGAGGGTGTACAGGCTATCACACAACGGAAAGTTGAGTACACCTGAGATCAACGCTCAGGCCTCAAGGTGGGAATCGCACACACATCATAAGGGGACATCATGAGTATAAATTGGATGCACTTAAAACAACATCAACGAGGTCACAAAAGCCGATCTAGTTACAACGACTAACAGCAGTATATAGATATTCAACTCCCACAAAACAACGGCAACAAGGACCTATATGTTCATATTAGTACATGTAACATTGACAAGCAAATACGAGGGACTTACCAGCGTAAACCATGGCGCAACGACGCATACGGTAGAACTCTTCGACGTGAACGAAACAAGCTTGGTCTTCATTGAGATTGAGCATCCCTAACGAGTACCATGAGTTGACATGCCGATGATGAGTGAATGAGTATACGCACGTTATACGGCGCATATATGCGCCTGAAGGACGAGTGGGGGTCTTCTAAGTATGGCCAATAACGAACGAGAGGGGATGCTTGTCAATGTGAGTGACAACAACCAACGCGCTATTGACAAGAGAGGAGGTCAATGCGATATCGAGAAGGGTGACGAGAAAACTTACCTCCATGTGCGTCCCAGCTGCCATTCTAATGGAATGTGTGTTCTGATCTGGAACCAAGTCAGTCATCATCCAGAGCGAAGACAATGAGGGGTTTTACTCACCATAGGAAGGTAGAGAGAGCAACAGGTTGAATGGTGTGAAGAGGCTTGGAGGTCGGGGATGGTGGTGGAAGGGGGGAAAGTAGGAATGGTCAACTACATGGCCGCGTTGAGTTTATTTACCTGGTAGGTGGTCCGTGCGCACTGGAGTAGAAGGAAAACAAGTGTGGGTGGCAGGTAATGGTATAGTTTTGAGAGAAGATGAGGACTCGACCGTGATGGTGGTGGTACTGAGTCAAACCAGGCACAAGGCAGTGCAGCACTCGCGAGCGCGAGTTGTATCCAAGGCCAAACAAAGATTCTGGCGCAAGCGCCTAGGGTTAGGGCCTGGGCGCTTGCGCCAGAATTTTTATTTGGCCTTGGATACAACCCGCGCCAGTTGACGCTAAAACAAGTCCCGCATCTCTTAACTCTGACTGCCATTGCAAAATGATCTACCGGAACCTCATTTTGGGATGGTCTATATCGGCTCTAGTCATGCTGCGGCTGCTGTTGCTGGTACCCTCACGCTGCCCGCTGATGTTCGTGCTCGGCTGAGTCTACATCCACGCTCGCTCATTTTTTACGGTGAGCTAGAAACAGGCCCATCTATGCTCCGTGTCTTGTTGACGGATCTTCGTGTCCTCTCTCAAGGTACGTAGTCTCTACCACAATTACTTTTGAGTACTCGAGCTTACGTGGATACTCTAGGTCAGCGTATATCTCTGGAGATGGGCCTTACAACGATGGACTGAGGGTAAACAGGTCGATCTGGCTGCAGAGCTACCCGGGATGAAGGCGGAGATTCGGGCGTTGCGGGCAGATGAAGGACTGGTTCTACCCATTGAAGATCACGAACAGTTACCCTCTGACCCCAACACATCTCGTATTCTTGCTTTCTACGTTTCACGTCGTGGATGCTTCGGGCAACGACAGTGATATTGTGTCTTCAAAGTCTGTTCTAGCATCACGTCCTTCCCTGATAGTGTTGCACGAGCTTTCGTCGTATTTTTTACGCGATGTTGAGACAAATTCAGTGTCGTAAGTCTCGATTTCCTCGAAGAAAAGATGTTTGTGCTCATGTTGATTGAACCTTACAGTCACAAATGGACGATCTCCTCTTACCTCAATCTAGTCACCCACACTGCGTCCTTGATATTCTTCTTGACACAGTACGCGTCCTCCGAACTGGGCTGTTAATATCCATGAAACCTGATTACACTCCCCGTTCGTAAAGATCTATCACTACAAACACTGCTCCGGTACTTTTCGATTTTCGGATTGACAAGCTGAGGGTCCCCGTTCCTTATCTGCCCATCATTGACCGGGGAGCACCGAAGGCACTCGCGTAACGTACACTGCTTGCACGAAATGCCAGATCGAGGAAACGTTCAACATTGACCGCATGACTCAGCTTCAAGACAAAATACAGCAGGTGCGTTCTTGTCCGTACCATCTCGAAGTTTCGATTTCAGTGATTTATTTCCTAAAAGGCTCCTGCGGATCATGGCTAGTAGCTTTCAATATCTTACATCGCGGTCAAATTTTATACAAGCATCACCGGATATACCCATATACCTATCGCGAAGCAGCGGAATCCAGAAAAGTATGATATGCCGGAGACTTTTGAAGTTGCGTTTCTCCCCAACATCAACTTCTCTTTCAGCCAGACTGATACCAGTGTTCAATCTGTTCTACAGGGAATAAACAAGAGCTTATTGCGGACTTGATTGTGAAAGCGAAGCAGGTGGAGTTTCTCATAAACTCGCTGCCTGAACCGGAGCAGGAGGAAGTCCAGGTGTGTTCCGATTCTATCCAGAGTAATCTGTGCTGCTTCTGTGCGTCGGATCTCTGATGTTTTCTACAGGCTCAACGTTCAACGGTTACAAGCACTCGAAAAAGGAATGCAGGAAGCAAACGAAGAATACGTGAAGGCTATTTGACGTACCAGTCAGTCCACCTTGATCCCTTCGCCCTTTGTAAACTCATTCTGTGGTTTTCTCTCTTGACCTCTGGCAGAATCACTTCACGCTCAAGTCAACGAAGTCGAAACCGGCCTAGCTGATGGTCCATCCGGATAACGATTTCCAGTAATCGAGAAATGTTTTCCGCCTTACGACTGCTTCTGTGCGATGCGATCACGGGCTTCTTGACCGTCGAATCCGTTGTTTTCAACTCAATTGACGCTTCGTGGAGGTTTCGAGCTATCTCAGAGCACGAAGGTACCTCAGGCTCAAGCTCGCCAATACTACGTTTGGGAAAGTTAAGTCCTTGCACGAAGGACGCTTTATAGCTGTAGTCGGGTGTCCCATCTGCTCGGTCGGCGCCTCCATCTCCAATCTGTTGACGGGGTTCGTCGTTCTACAGCTACGTAGGCAGAATCAAACTATCTGGCGTCGTATCTACAGCACTGAATCGAGTTTGTTTCTATCGTGCAGTAAAGCTCGTGTCTGAGCAGGCCAAAAAGTACCTTCGAATGGTCCCGGTCAACTTTGAATCTTGATGGATTCGAGTGACTCCGATGACGAGAGACTGATAGTGACTGAGGGTAATGCAGGTCCGAACTACCGGGCGTTGTATCAATCTGATGTTTTGGTGGCGTACTACAGCCCACGCTGGTTTGCCATGTCTGTACCCTTATAAAAAGATGATTTATGAAGTACAATGTCCTCGTTCGATGTTCAGGATTGTACCGACCTTTTTGACTTGAATCACAGTATGTCCATCTTACTGTCCATCTTTCTGGTGAGTTTACATTTTACTACATTGTTTCTATGTTTATACATCTTACGTTCCATCTTTCGGTGAGTTGTACATCTTTTTACAACCTTACTATGTTTGTACGACCTTACTAAAGGTTTGTATCTAGTGTACACTCTCTTCCATCTTTACGCGGCATGTACACTATTATCAACAACATACAAGGGTACTGTAGACTACCGGAAATCCTGGTCGCGGGTGGACACCCCTTACATCCCCGGGAACCGTCCATGGGGTTTTGCCGATGATGCTCGAACACAAGCCCGGTTCTGTGTTTCCCCAGGTTAAGAGCGATTTCTGTGGCTTTCATGCAAGCGCACCCGCCATTTCCGTAGGCTGAGCGACCAACATAAAGGCCGGGTAGATTCAAATCAGAGTGGTCTCAAACCTTGCTTTAGTCGTTCAAAACGCAGACTCCGTGAGTCGTACCGACTTAATAAAGTAACAGAGGTCCATAGGCTAAGAGGACCTGGTACCTTCGAGAGGTACTCTGGAGACACACACTAACGTTTCGTGCTTCCTGTGCTTGTGCATCCTGGTGAGGAGAGTGCTAATCTGCCGTAGTCTTGTTTGACTCGCGACGCAAAGGTGATGTTACATGCGTCGCGACTCACAATTGATCACGCCGTGCGATTCAATCACGTGCACCATCTCTTGGGTTGATATTGGAAAAGGGTTAGGGTTTGACCTTGTTTTTCTCAACAGTCATCGCCCTGCGGCCACACAGGATCATTCACTGACAAAGGGCTCCTTCGATGAGTTCATTGCTCACAAAATCAGAGCCAAACATTCTCATGGCACAAGTATGCCAGATGATATCTTTGACTATACCGTTCCTGAGCCGAGCTGCGAGCTTCCTGAACTCCACACAGATATATCGACCCAGCTACGGCCACCACTGCTTTGCCAGCCCATGATCAGCCGGGAGATCCGACTCCAGCACCGTTTTTGCCAAAGCTGGAAATCCTGACGCTTTTTGTTCATGCTCATTTCGACGCCGATGTTGAGTTCGTAGAGACGGTGCAATCTCGCTGGTATACGGCCCGAAGTTCAGATTCAAAGGAACCTTTACACTCGAAACAATGCCGCATACGATCTGTGACACTTGAGGTCCAAGGCCGGGAGGTACAGCAGGCTATCTATGAGCCGCTTAAGGTCTGCGATGCGGAGGGGATGCGCGTGGTTTTGAAGGCAACCGGGAATTACATTATTTGACTAAGTTCTTCGATCGAATCAGGTATGGTCTCT